TAAAGGTTTCATCTGTCACGACTGAGATAATATGAGACATGTCCACAACAGCCTAATTATGGTTATCTTAACTTAAAAAGCTGACGTCACGGTTCATGTGACCAAACAGAACTAGAAAAAAAGGAACGAGAAAAAGTAACATAGAATCTAGCAATGGCTCTTAGTTAAAGCTTTGGCAAATTTTTGCTTTGAAACCCGCTTTTAAAAAAAATCATCGCTCCAGAAGAAATAAATATGTCATTCCCGTTCGCTTTCATAAAATGTCAGGCTAAACAATTTTAAACCCAGTGGACGGATCTGTTATTATTTTTTCCCCTCCGTCTTCTTGTCATTTTCACTATTTTACTCACTGCTGAATTTTATTGAGAGGATTTCATGACTGTCAGTACTTTGCAAAAATAAGAGGAAATTCTGTATTCGCCTAACTTAAATTCACTTCACAAGAATACAGTACCAAGAAATCGTCTCTGTTCAATTACAACTGGTTTCATTTTTCATAAACAAATACTGACGCACACTTAGTATTGTTTGAAAATATGTATTTCTGTTGCACGTACTCAATAAAAACAAAAATATTATCAATGCTGGGTACTGGGTACTTTCTGAAATAGCAAAAATTAATCAGGGGCACCAAACGACAATTTTCGGAAAATATCTGTTCGGAAGAAGATTTGAGATCTAGAATTTTCGGAACATTTGTTGTAAAATTTGTTGCTTGCCTGCCTCTCCTAGGATTTTCGAAAATCTAAAAAATGGTATATTTGCCCATTTTTAAAGGATTTTTACCTTTAAAAGGTCAACTAGAATTTTCGGGAGCCTTTTTTCTGGCTGAAATTTTCGAAAAGGTAAGTTTTGATCCCTATAATTTTCGGATCACTAGACTTTCAGCTAGGAAATCCGAACAGATGAAAAATTTTTAGGGGATAAAAATATGCCTATATCTACCGTTTAAATACTAAAATACGTTTAACAATGGTATGTTTAAGTGGTTTTAAACTATATTCTCGTTGGGTGCCCCTGATTAATCCCCAGCAAGAAAAACCAGTCCGTCCTAATCGCAAAAATTAGTTCCCGCAAAACACAAAAAATCGTCAATCCGCAAAAACAAACTCCCGCAAAAATTTCGTTCCACACGGTATCCGTTGGAAAAATGATCGGTCGTTTGATCAGCAAGGGCCAGGTCGTCATTTTTGGTTCCTTACTTGCGTCAGTTCAGGTTTATTAGACTACCTTTGTAATCACCAATTATGTTTATAATTATGTGCTTTAGTTTTAAATTCAATTTTGGTAACGACCCTACAGTATCAGCCCCCGACAAAGGTTTGTGTTGCAAACCGACTAATATCGGAAAAAATGATATCATGTATATTCTTAATTTTGTTTGTACTGGGTTTATTTTCTCTTTTCGCCGATCAGTTCCTTCGATTTCGTCCTTTCAACTTATCCAAATCTGTTTTTGAGATCCGGATGCGGCCATTAGTTCATTGGCTTCCGAAGAGCTCATTCCCTGTTGTTGGCTTTTAGTTGGGATGTTTCAACAAAAGGAACCACCGAACCACAGGAAACCGAATAATTAGAAAGGCTCGCAACAAATATGTCTCTTGTTCCTCTAGGATACACATGATCAGGCACAATTTTCATATTACATAAATAAAAATTATACTGTTTTTCGTCCTATAAGTGAGCCTCTAATATAACTCGAAAAAAATTGATTTACTTGCACGCGCCAGCATAAGCCTTGATTGCCTCCGAACTCAGAGTAACATCTTTGCAGGGAGAGATGCAAGAATTTTTCATTGGGGTAGGAGAAGGTCCAAATTTTGGTTCAGAAAGGACTGTTGAACTTTTTTGTGGAAAATTACTTTTTCCCCACACCCCCTCCCACTAGTCGCTGAGAAGGCAGAGACAACTACTTGTTCTCAATCTGTGAAAAGCAGTCGCCGTTGGCGCGGGAAATACTGCTTTGCAAGCAGAGGCGAACTGATCATAGGAGGGTACCCAAAGAAAATCACATTCTTGAATATCCCTGGAAATTAGTTTGGTGGCAAAATACAACACGCGTTTCATTAAAAAAGTCAGCCAGTTAAACAGTGATATACAATACTATCGTTGTAAGGATTTTAGTCTCAAACAAGTATCAGGTCTGATGGGGGATCTGGACCCCCCGGGCCCTCCCACTGGACCCGCCACTACCTTGGTGCCCTTTGACATCCTTTCTAAAGCATTCTGTAGTTCATGGTAGTTCGAACACATCCGATTGCTAGCTATAGATGCACATTCTGAACTTGAAACACAATCTGATTATAAACAGCAGCTAAAATAAAAGAAGTGCACAGCGCCCCTCGAGCAAAAACAGGGGGAAAAGTTATTCTTTTCTTTAACTAGTTACAAAGGATACAGACCAAAGCTAGTTTTATTTCATAAATGTTTTAGCACACACCATGGAAGAATTTCTTCCCTCCTTTCCAAATGCGCGGGGTAGAATTACGTGACGTGACATGCCTTGCATGACTGCACTGAAAGCTGGTTTGCCTGTGGCAGTTCGACAGTTGTTTTCGTTTTGCCGTGGCGGCAAGTGAAATTGTTACAGTTATAAGTTCAAATTCGTCGTTCATTTCCTTCTGGAGGTCTTTCCGAGGAATCTTCTGAGAAGTTCTATGGACTCTTAAACTAACACAGTCTCAGGTGGGTATCGTTGGATTAAAAATTGTTAATTCGTTAAATCGCATAAATCGCTGCATAAAATTCACAGCAGAAAACGGAACAGATTTGATACTCGTGAATTTTGTTGTATTTTTTACCGCTTTGTGGACCTTTTGACACTTAATACTTTAACCCACCTTCCTTCCCTTTCCACCTTTCCATGTTCCGCCTTCTTTCGATCTATTATCCTCCCGCCCTGGTACCGGCTCTTCATCACGGCCGTAGTTTTCAAATGTCTGGGAAATGAAAAACTCAAAGAAATTTCCACAGAGCTGTTGGACTTTTTCAATAATCAGAAAATGTGAAAAGGTGTTAACATAGACACCAATTAAAAGATGCCTGAAGGAAAAAGGTTTATTTATAAGACACGAGGAAAAGGACAGCGTTAAAAGAGAAGGAAGTAAATGTAAACTTAGCGTGACGCAAGTATTACAGTTTTTTTTTTGCAAGACCCCAGTGTGGAGTCTCTTATTCGGCAACTGTTTAGCATAAAGACTAAACAGAATATTAATTAAAGTCAACTGATGCATAAGATGTAGTACTTCAAGTCTAGTTTGCGTAGCAGGCTTCAGTTAGGTTTTGCGCGCGCGTCCTCGAAATGTCTCAATTGGCCCTAAAAAATCTGAACCTGCTACGCAGGCTACTTCAAGTCATTTTGCAGGTTCCGAGTTCCTTGAAAATGGTCTGGTTGAGTGCTTTCGTACCAGCGTATTAACTTGATAGAGCAATGACCCGACGTGACCACAGGAAGCCCAAGTCGAAATATGAGCATCGGCATTGTTGCGTAACATTCAAAATATAAGGATTTGTATGGGGAAAAAAT